ACCTGATCAAGATTTGTTCCACTATCTTAATGAAGAAGTTTTACAAGCATACCACACATGCATACACTCCTACATTCAAGATAACCACTTTCTTGACCCCAAGAAATCTTTGTTTTTTGTTTTTCTTCGGCCATCATCTCTAGATTCATTTGATATTACCTCTTTGTCTCGACATCCCTCGGCCATGTTGGCTGTTCGATTGGCCATGTAGGCCGACATTCGAGCTAAAAAGCTCGAATAAGGATCATGATCCTTCATTCCTCAACTGGAGCTAATTCTTTCTCGGCTCGAATGACAAAACCTCTTTTCACATCCCAGCAAAATATTTTCTTAATGCCTTCTTCTTCATCCATAACACCAGCATTGTGGGCATCAAAAGGCCTTGTTTTCGCAAATGCAGTTAATTGTTGATCTGCGAAATACATTCTTACCTCATACTCTTTCTGATCCGTATCGAGCACTTCCAAACCTTCATCATCATTCCAAAAGAAAATCTTTTGGTGAACAATTGAAGGGAAAACTTGTAACGACCCGGCTGGTCACTACACACACCACTGTACACCGGAAACGCCAGACAGAAAGGACAAGTATATAAATATAGGATCTAGAATATAAATATATACAAAGTCCCTATCCGACTAGAGTTAGAGTGTACAAAAACAAAATACATTATCAACGGCTACACCAAGTAGCTGAAAACAACAAAGCATCAACAAGGATCCAGCTCCGCCTGTGATTTAAGAACAGGAAAAGGAGTGAACAACTTTAGTAATTATTTGTTTCTTAAGATTCTTCTATAATTAACAAGCAATAATTTTCACACTTATAAATGCTAAGATGAACAGAATGAATAATTAAGATACTTGCAATACAAATCATAGTTCAACTTGCATAATGTTCCAGAGTTACAATATCAAAGTAATATAACTACGTGATTAAAGGAAATAAATAAGAGAACTATGCTAATTCTACTCCTAAAAAGTAAAAGAAGAGTGGCCGAGAGTCAGTCATACCCAAAAACGATCTTGTGCACGAAAGCCATATGTGTGTGTAGGCAGAGAGTGCTTCAGAAGTTAATTCAAGTATGAGTTTTTCCGACCTCTGTTACGGTCCGTAATCCTTGTATTTATAGAGCAATCAAGAGTGGTTAATTTTGTGCACGTACACCTCTAACTCATAACCGCTATCCACTATGCTTGCTACGTGGTCTTGAGTTATAACTTCCTTTAACCGTCCTCCCACGTTCATATTAACCTCTCGACCTACCTGTCCACACATATGTTAACTTCTCGATTTAGACGTTTGACCACCTTCATGTGACCATTGGTACTACACTTTCACTAGTTTTCGAGCACAACTCTTCTCGATCTCGAATATTTGCCACTGGAAAGTGTCCATCTTCATATCATTTTTCGAGGAATCTACATGATTGTTTCAACTTGTTTGTAGTTTTTCGAGTGGGTCCAACAATATTAGATCAATATATTTCTGCTATTGAGAGTCAATTTGAACAATTTTTAGAATATGAAACACATGTTTGGTTTTTTATTTGATTCAAATAAATTTAAAACTTTAGGGGAAGATGAATTGAAAAAATATTGTATCAAACTTGAAAAGATTTTGAGTTTTGATGACCATTCTGATATTGATGGTCTTGATTTATTTTCAGAATTAAAGTTATTCAAAGAAATTCTAATAAATGAAATTAACACACCATTAAAAATATTGAACTATATAAAAAAATCATGTTGTTTTTCAAATACATACTTTGCTTATAGAATATTATTAACATTATATATATCTGTGTTGACTGCTGAAAGAAGTTTTTCAAAATTAAAATTGATTAAATCATATTTAAGATCAATTATACTATAAGATAAATTGAATGGTTAGCTATATTATCTATTGAAAGTGAGATGTTATAATTACTTCATTATAAAACTTTAATGAATAATTTTGAAACTCAAAAAGCGAGAAAAATAACATAAAAATTATTAAGCTATATTAACATAGGTCCCTCTCTTAATTTTTGCCTAAAGCCCCAAAATTCCTAGATACGACCCTGCACGAAAGCCGAGTAGTCTAAGAGTGCATACCAAATTTAGCCATCATAACATTTTTACTAGAAAGATATATTATTAGGGTCTCTTTCAGATAGTTGAGTCGCATAAGATACACCCTATGAACACAATAGATGAGACTGAGACTTCCCAAAATCCCCAAACTTTTATACATATAATAACGTGAAAACCATAACCTTAGGCAAGTTAAAAGTTGTTTTACTTTCCCACTGCGTAGTAATAACCATACTATAATGAGTATAGTGGCCTATTGGGTCGTTACATCCATAGTTTTAAAAACCGGACCGGTCATCGAACCGGTTAAGGTACTGGGTCAGTGGGTCAAAGGTTGAACCGGTGGGTCACTAGTTGAACCGCATGACTCGGTTTTTATTTATTTTTATTAAAAAAATATTCATATTAAATATATTTTATACTTATAAATTTTAATAAATTTATATCTTATTTTAAATTTCAATTTTTCTATCTTATTTAAAATTATTTTTATTTTTATTTTGTAAAAAATATATAAAAAATTACATATTAAACTGTATATTAATACAAATTAAAAATATAAATAATATGTACATATATAATATGCTTGCAATTGATATCACAAAATAATATATGTAATATTTACATATATATTATATTATTAAATATATAATATAAAATTAATAATATACTATAAAAGTTATTTAAGTTGTATATTATATAAACAAATACATTAGAACAAGTAGTTATTGTTATATTTAATAAGAATCTTTGTTCTTCTATTAAAAGATTCAATTTTCATTATTATTTTTGTGGTTTATGGTCCCTTAAAAAATAAAAAAAAAAAAAAAATAAAAAAAAAAAAAAAAGTGGTTGAACCGGTTTGACCCACCGGTTCACCGGTTGAACCGGAAAATTGACCGGTTCAATCCGGTTTGAAACGGGTCGACTGCATAACCGATCCAACTTAAGGTTCGGACCGGCTGGACCACCGGTTCCCGGTCCAACCGGTCCGACCGGCCGGTTCGGTCCGGTTTTTTAAACACTGGTTACATCATATTATACTTAATATCATATATATTGAATTTCACATTATTTAAACATTTTTAGATATGTTATCAAAAAATAAATATTTACATATTTTTAAATATCATATTATACAATAAAATAAAGTGATGTAATGAATTATTAAATAATTTCATAATCATGTAAAATTTGATATATATGAACTTGAGATATCACATAATTTAATAGTTAGATCAATTCAATTTACATTATACATAAAGTTATTGAAAGTATAAGATTTGGTATAAGTTTTTAGACTTACACCTAATGTTAATGGGTTTTGATTCATACACACATACACTTATATAGGAGAGATTTACTTACTCAAAGAGAGTTTGAATATACTTGCTCAATATATATATATATATATATATA